TTTAGGGAGCAACCTAGGTCATCTCTCACAATGATGCAATTACACATTGTTTCAATATCAATTATGCGAAAAATGTTGTATGTTTGGGGGAAGTTTTGTGATTAAATGCAGAGAATTAAATCGCAAAATCACAGAGAAATTAAAACATAAATTGCAATGCAGGTAATCAATTACAATCAAACCAAAATTGAGAATGAAAACCGAGATCCAGAATACACAAAACACAAACGTAAGTGATTATACCGAATTTGTTTAAATCTCTTGTGTACAACAATCAATTAATTAATTGCTTGTTATACGATCAAGAACGAGGCACAATTCAATCGAATCATACATTCTATGCAATTACAAAATTGTAAGATCAGAAAACAAACTCGGAGCAATCATAAACATCTTGAACAAGTGCGATTTGGACTTTGGCAACGTAATTGAAGGAGAAACGTAGGAGAAAACATCTTGAAATTGAAAAAACTTAATCGCCTTTTAATTGTAAATGCAGAGGAATACGAATTCGAAATGTAAAGGTGCAAGAGAAGAAGAAGAATGGGTAAAAATATGAGAGGTTTATTGGAAGTGGGGAAGTTCTACAAAACTAGAAAAATGAAAAATTGAATTAAAGGTGCTTCCAAATCAGCTCCTGGCCTTTATAAATACTAGTCCTAAAAGAATAAGATAAATGAACCAAGGCTGGGCCAAAAATAAATTCAACAAAACTGGAAAAGAAAGACAAAACAAAATTAATACAAAAAGTCAAACTAAAAGTCTAAACTTCTAAAAATTGTAGAAAATAGCTCCGAACTCCCAAAAAACACTATCCAAGTATCCAAATTGAAGCCCCGGAAGTAAGGAATCCAATGCAAAAAGAATCAGTCAAAAAGGATATCTACAGAAAAAGTTATGGCCAAATTAGTGAACAAAGGTCAGAAAAGAAAAACATGAGTATTTACAAGAAATTCCTAATTAAAGTGCAAAATGCAAAAACACACTAAATGGAAGAAATAAGGGAATGAAAAGACATGTAAAGGATGCACTAAGACTATAAATGTGGGAACAAAATATGAGTCATCACACAACATCCAAGTACAAGAAAAAAAGTAACCCATTAGGGGCATGATGAAAAATAACTAGGGGAGAAGAGAGATTCAGACCAAGTTTAGCTAAATTGTTTGCACATTAGTTAGCTTTCCTAAAAATATGACTTAATCTAATGAAGTTTACTACTCTTAAACTATCCCTAATTTGACAGATAACATGATACAAGGTATGTGAGATATTAGGAACAGTCTGAATGCATCTGATTGCTTCGAGGAAGTTTGTTTCAATCCGAGTAGTTTGAGCTTATTGTTGGAGACTAAGTTAGAGCCCATAGAAGATACCTCAAAGTTTAGCTTCTAGAGGGGAGTAAAGGGGTATGGACTTGCAAAACTCAACCACTAAATCACCCTTCCAATTCCTAAGAGTGCCTCCACAAGTAGCAACATGCAGATGAAACTAGACAACACCATCAATGTTTAATTTAAGCTGGCCCTTTAGAGTAAGGATCCATTTGAATCAAGCATGGTCTCTGGTTAGAGAAGGAAAATGACCTTGCCTATTTCTGCAACAGAAAATGGAATACTCCGTATCTCAAAGAATATTATGAAGCAGAGTAGAAACCTAGGCAGAGGAATTATGAAACACAAAGGCATTTTTGTCTTTCCACAAATGCCAAAGAATAAAACAAAAAGATATTGCCAAGTAGGAAATTTGCTAATGTTAGGATTAGATAAATTTCTAAAAAGCCAATTAGATAAACCTATAGAGAAAAATCAAGCCTATTGGTCAACAAAAACAAAGTGTTTTCAAATATTTTTGGCATAAAAACAATCCCTTAACACATGCATTATTGATTCAGGGATAGTATCACAACTGGGACAAGTGGCTAAAGCAGTTATTCTCGTCCTAACTCTTTTCTCATTAGTGAGGAGTCTACCATGGGAGACTTTCCAGAAGAAATATGCCACTTTAGGAGGACCCTCCTATTTCTAGACTTCATTTAGAACAATAGTATGGAGAGGAGATGGGGTGGGGGGATTAGGAGATTAGCTTATATGCAAATTTAAGAGAGAAGGAACTTGTATTAGAAAGAGCCTAGGAAATAAAATCCTATTCTTTGGAGAGGCTAGGGGGCTGAACTCTAGCAATATCTTCACTTATGTGAGTAGGGAGCATGGAGTGAAGTTTATCCCAAACCCAGTTACCTTGGTTAGAGAAAAAAAATCACAGGGAGATATAAATCCTTCTCAGAAATAGGGTGTAGAGAATGAGATCATAGGTTAGGATAATTTGGAATCCAGTGGTCTACCTATAACCTAACAGATAAGCCATTGCCTAGACCCCAACTCAATCCTATATAAAACATAGGCCAAACTAAAATAATGTTTTTCTAAAGGGAGAAGCTTTATTGTAACTCCTCATATCCAGGTTCTGGCTAGTGAAGAATCTATATTTCATACATAACACTTGAGCCCACAGGTTGCTAGGGTCAATATGCAGCCTCCAACACAGTTTCGTAATGTAAGCTTTATTAAGCATGAATAAGTCTCTGAAACCCAGACCCCCTTGATTTTTTGGCTTATAGGTTGTATTTCAGCCTATAAAATGACATTTCCTAGTATCCAAAAATCCCTATATAAATTTTTTTATAGAGGCTATTAATTTCTTCATAGAGAAAATGAGGGATAATATTGGTTTGCATTACATAAAAGGGTATGCTCATGATGTAAAATTGAGCCAAAACCACCCTACTAGCTAGAGAAAGAAACTTTATCTTTCAAAGGGACAATTTCTTCTTCACTTTATCAATAACGTAAGAAAATTGGGACTTGGAGGGTTTGTGGCAGCTAATAGGAATATCTAAATATGTGCCAAAGTGGTTAGTAGGCTTAATGCCTAAAAACTCACCAATCTCTTTTCTAGCATCAAAAGGGGTATTCTTGGAAAAAAAATAACGAAGATTTCCCAATATTGATGGTTACACTAGAGGCTTGGTAGAAGGAATGAAGGATATTTTGAATATTAGAGGCTTGAGAAAAATCAGCCTTAGTTATTAAAATAATATCATCAGCAAAGAGGAGATGAGAAATAGTCACATCCTAGTGCCCAAAATAGTATGGGGCCTAATTCTTTTTGGAAATGTTGTCCTTAATGAGATAGTGAGTCTTTCTATACATAATACAAAGAGATATGGAGATATAGGATCTCCTTGACAAATGTCTCTAGTAGACTTGAAAGTCCTAGTAACACTATTATTCCAATTTATTTCCATAGAAGGGGAAGCAATACAAAAGTTAATAAGAGTAATCAGATCATTGTTAAAACTACCCCTTTCTAAAGTATCCTTGATGAAATTCTACTTAAACTTGTTATAAGCTTTCTCTAAGTCAAGTTTAACAATCATATACTCAGTTTTGCTTTTAAGATTATGAAAAGAGTGAATTATCTCTTGGAGAATTAGTACATTATCTATCCCTTGGCGACCTTGAATAAAACTGCACTAATTAGCAATTATTAAATGAGGGAGAGATGTCCTTAACTTGTTGGCTACTATTTTAGTAATAATCTTATAGCTGACAATACATAGAAATATAAGTCTGAACTCTTTTATTAACACATGGTCATCAATTTTGGGAATTAGGGTTATGCAAGTTTCATTGACATCCCTAATGACCCTAGGATCTTGAAAAACCTTAAGGACAAAATTATAAATATACTAGCCCAAAACATACAATTGGTTTTTTAAAGAAAAGGGCATGAAGCCCATCTAATTTTGGGAGCTTAAAATTGCCAATGCTAAATAGGGCAGCCCTAACTCCTTTAAATGAGACAGGAAGGGATAGGAAGAGTTTATAAAATTCTAAAAGAGGGGAAAAAGAAGTGTGAGAATTCATAATAAACTCAGAAGGATTAGGATCAGAGTAGAGAGTAATAAAATAATTAACCGCTAAATTCTCCAATTAAGAGGGATCATAGACCTACTTTTATGTGTCATCTTTCAGGGCTTCAATTCTATTTCTATTCTTCCTACCTATAACAACTTTATGATAGAATCTGGTATTGCAATCCCCTAAGGACAGCCAGGTGACTCTATAATAATAGTACTAAAAAGTTTTCTTTTAATTAAGAATTAACTGATAATCTTTCCAAAGAGTTAGTGGAATTATGTTCTTAAACACTTAACTTATAATCTCCCATTATGTTAAAATAATTACTATCAATTCCACACAATTCATTTTTTTTCCTATTCTAAAGTCAAATTTCCTAATTTACTAGACTTGCTAATTAGGATAACACAAACACAATTAATAAGCCACTTAAACTGTGTAATTTGAATGAAAATAAAAAAAAAAAATGAAAAATAAGAGAGATGTTATTATTTATTATTAAAATGGATAAAAATATAAAATGGGGGAGAACATAAGAAATGGATCTTACAATTAAAAAAATTCCTCCAAAAAGGCGTAAAATGGGAGAATAAAATACTTTATTTTGTTTTCTTAGTCGTTTAAAAATAAAACTATTTTTTTTATAATTTTAAAATATAAAAAAATAATCTTAAAATTCAAATTTGTTAAGTTAATTTATATTTTATGTACTATAAACGTTTTTAATATTATCTATCTATTTCTTTAAACTCATTTACTCATATAAATAAACAAAAAAATTTATCTATTTATTTTTTTATTTTTTACTTTTATTTATATAAATAATACAGTATTTTAACTTTTTTTATTTACTTATCATCCAAACAAAAAAATGAGATACGAATTTTTATAAATTTATTAACATAATTTGTATTATTTATTAAAATTTTTAAAATTACAATTTATATTTATTAAATGAATATGTTATTAATACTACTTTGATTATTATTATAAAATATAAAAATAGGTTACTGTGATAAATCATAGAGTATGATGATGGATGGTTAGATGAAGTGGATGATGGACCGCAGCGCATGGTGCATGTGCAAAAGGGCGAGAGGGCAAAGGGAAGAATAAGATTTGACTTGATTTTAGACAGTGTGTGCGCAAATATTAGAAAGCGAAAGAAACGGAGAGAGAGAGAAACAGTAGCAAAATTCAATCAGATCGAATATTATCTTGAAGTCCGCAGCAACAGAGGACTCTCTCTCTCTACTTTCTCTCTCTAGAAAACAGGCTAACTCCACGGAACCCAACAGGGCCCCTTCTCTTCCACTGAAGACACAGCAGAAGAAGAAGAAGAAGAAGAAGAAACCCTAGAGAAGAAAGAAGCAACTCAACTCAGCTCCACTCACCAACGCAATTCAAATTCTATTTCCATTCCATTCTGTGTTCTCTTTCTCACCACTGTTTTCTCTTCAATTTCAATTCCTGGTAGGTCTCGCCGAGTCCAACTCGTTCTCACTCTCTGAGTCATGGATCGTTGATTCGCTCCCCATAGGGCTCGATCGACCCTTTTATTTAGCGGCTATTTTGGTGCTTTTAGTTTTGGTTTTGCTTCCAACTTCGTTTAATTAAATTTAATTTCTTATTTGTTTTATTTATATTTTCAATTGAGCTTAAGACTTGGTTGAAAAAGAAGCTAATTTTGAACTGCTAGCTGATTTGGTAGTTTTTTTTTAAGGCTGTGGTAATTAGTGGGATATATTTTAGTTTTTTAATTCTTTAGTTGTTGTATCGGTTTCCTGGGTAGTGTTTTGTGGACTTTTGTTGATGATTTGGATCTGAAAATTCGTGTGTTGTGTAGAGACTCATGCTGAGAGCGTTTGAAGACGGCACATTTCGATGTTTGGGTTTGTTTTGGAGGCACAGTAAAAGCTTGGACTTTTGGGTTGAAATGAAGCATTGTGTGGGTTGAGATTGAGAGAGTTTGTTTGTGGCAATGTTTTATGTACTTGGTTGTTGTGCTTAGTTCAGTGATTGTTTTGAAAGGGCAGTGATAGGGAAAGAATGGTGCCTCCGGGGCCACCCACTCCGATTGGTGGTGCCCAGTCTGTGTCGCCGTCTCTTTTGAGATCAAATTCGGGAATGTTGGGGGGCCAAGGGGGCCCTGTGCCTCCACAGACTTCGTTCCCTTCCCTGGTTTCGCCGCGGAATCAGTTTAACAACATGAACATCCTAGGTAATATGTCTAATGTAACTTCCTTGCTGAATCAGTCTTTCCCAAATGGGATTCCAAATTCTGGGATCTCTGGCCCTGGGAGTAGCCAGCGCAGTGGAGTTGTTGATGCTGTGGCGGAATCGGATCCACTATCTGGGGTTGGCAATGGAATGAGTTTTGGCAATTCTTTGCAATCGAATTTGGTGAACCATGGTTCATCTGGTCAAGGTCAGGGTCAACAATTTTCAAACGCTTCTGGTAACCAGTTGTTGCCAGATCAACAGCATTCCCAGCAACATGAGCCTCTGAATTTCCAACATAGTCAGCAGTCAATGCATCAGTTCTCTGCTCCTCTGAACACTCAGCAGCAGCAGCATTTTCAGTCGATTCGTGGAGGGATGGGTGGTGTTGGACAGGTGAAGTTGGAGCAGCAGGTAAACAATGATCAATTTGGGCAGCAGCAGCAGTTGAGGAGCCTTGCTCAGGTAAAATTGGAACCGCAACAACTACAAACAATGAGAAATATGGCAACGGTAAAAATGGAGCCCCAGCATACTGATCAGCAGTTTTTGCATCAGCAACAACAGCAGCAACAGCAACAGCAACAGCAGCAGCAGCAGCAACAACTCCTTCACATGTCCAGGCAATCCTCTCAGGCTGCTGCTGCACAGATGAATCATCTTTTGCAGCAGCAGAGGCTTGTGCAATTCCAACAACAACAGCAGCAACTCTTGAAGGCAATGCCTCAACAGCGTTCCCAGCTTCCACAGCAGTTTCAACAGCAGAATATGAATAAGAAACCAGCATATGAACCTGGCATGTGTGCTAGGCGGCTAATGCATTACATGTATCAGCAACAGCATAGACCTGAAGTAATAATTATTCTCATTATTGTGTCTGTTTTAAATGTGTAAATCTTCTGTCTTATCATGCATTTGCACTTGATTTTGTGTAGGATAACAACATCGAATTCTGGAGGAAATTTGTTGCTGAGTATTTTGCCCCTAATGCCAAAAAAAAGTGGTGTGTTTCCATGTATGGAAGTGGTAGACAAACTACTGGAGTTTTCCCCCAGGTCTGCTGCTGAGAAAACCTTATAAAATATCTGTGATGCCTAGATAACTTCATCTAAGCTAATCTCTTGGTTATTGAATGATGTCCATACTCAACTCTCTATTGTACTGTATTCATTTATTAGCATCTTGATTTTGTTGTTGTGATTGGCATATTGTTATTTCTCAAGCAACTATTGTATTGAATATTCTATGGGAATCAAGGTGCAGCATGGTGGGTTCACGAAGATGAACCTAAGCATTAGTTTAAGCTAACATAATGATTTTTGAAATATTTTCAGGATGTATGGCACTGTGAAATATGTAACCGCAAACCTGGCCGTGGGTTTGGTAAGTTATTTTTGTAATTTTTCAGTTTAACTAAGTTCATTCTGTTTTGGTTGGTTTCTATGTTGGTGTTGTGAACATTTAAAATTATGATTGTGCTGCACTGTACTTTTGCTGAAGATTTTTATTTGTTTTCAGAAGCGACTGCTGAGGTCCTTCCTAGGCTATTCAAAATAAAGTATGAAAGCGGTACTTTGGAAGAGCTGCTTTATGTTGACATGCCTCGTGAATATCATAATTCCTCTGGCCAGATTGTTCTAGATTATGCAAAAGCTATACAAGAAAGCGTTTTTGAGCAACTTCGTGTTGTTCGTGATGGTCAACTTCGAATAGTTTTCTCTCCTGACCTGAAGGTTGTTAATGGGAATAATTATATATTGCTTTTAATTGAAAATGAGTGCACATTTTTATTAATTTTCTCTTCTATTTTAAAAAAAATTAACTGGCATTCATTTGTTTGTTATTTCTTTTGCAGATATGTTCTTGGGAATTTTGTGCTCGGCGCCATGAAGAGCTCATCCCCAGAAGATTGTTAATACCTCAGGTTGCAGATTAAATAATTAATTTATCAAAAGCCTTTATATCCTGTTCATGCATTGGCATATGCTTATGAGATGTTCGTTTATGATCATTAACTTATATTTTATTGAGAGTTGGACAGACTTCATATGTTTGTTTCATGTGGCTATTGCATGTTTTGATAGTTACTTGGTATGGTAATATGTTTTGCCAAGCACCACTCAGCCTTTTCATTCTTGGTTTTGTTGCTAGTTATGTTCTTTGTAGTATATACTTGCATATATTTTCAGATTATTGTTTCCACTGATAATGACAAGTTGTCATACATTTTAATTATTTATTCTTATATTTACTTTGTTGTGTTCAGGTTGGTCAGCTTGGAGCAGTTGCTCAAAAATACCAGGCATTTACTCAAAATGCAACACCCAATTTATCCGTTCCAGAGTTACAAAACAATTGCAATATGTGAGTCCTTTTTTCTGTTTATTCTTTTTGCTTATTTCTGAGCTGAAGTCTTTTCTTAATTATCTAATTGTGAATTTGTTATAATGTACCTGTGAAATTGTTGCCACACTCCTTTAAAAATTGGACTTTTGTTTGTAATTATATGGTAACTTTCTTCTTCTGGGATCATGCAATTTGCCTTGGCTTATTTTTCTTGAGTTGGGATTTCATATGTTGAAGTGTCACTGTACATATCTTCTGATATGGCTGAGAGCGCTCATCATTATGTCGAGATTTTAAGCTGCAAACAATGGTGCAACTCTTGACATAGAACACCATACATCAAACGTGGGCCCTCCCCTATTTAAGCCATTGGGCACAGGCCACCAGGTTGAACCCAATCAACTAACCTATATGCACCTCTCGTGACCCTATGAGCATATCATCTTCTCTAGTAAATTTTAGTCTGCAATTTATTGATTTTTTCTTTTTGTTCCTTCTTTTTGGCTTACCTGCTGGATCCTCTTCTATATAAATCCCATTCAGATGCCTACATATTGGTTTCTAATGAGATCTTATATTTAATTAGTTTATAATATAGTAAAAGAACATCTTGGCTTATGTCATACTTTTTTGGATTTGGATGCTGCAATCTACATATTCTTGTCTTGTACGCTTATATTAATCGGTGATGGTACAAACATTTGTCTAATCCATGTTATATCAAATTTCTATGGCTAAAATTTTTCATTTGCACTCTTCTGCCCATGATTGTCAAAATTGCACTCTGGGCCGTACAATTCAACATGTTGCTGTTTTTGTCAGAAACAGCAAGTTTTTGGTACTGTGGGCTCTGTTTTGTTGTTAAAAGTGTCCTGTTTCTTTTTGGCTTTAGTTTTTGGACACTTTTGTTTAGTCAAAAATTTATGCTGAGACTTGCAATGATTTTTGAGTTGTATTAAAGACTTCATATCTTTAATTTAAGTTTTATTAAATGTTTGTTATGATTTAAGGGTTATTTTTGTTCTATATGCTATTTTTTATGCATGTATATGTGTGTTTAAATGTAATTTAGTATTTTAGCTGACTCTTACAAGTTGTGTTACGATCCACTGCTCCTACAATCCAACACCCCTATTCTATTCTAACCTTGATTTGACAACCTTGCTTTTGCCATTGTATGTGAAAGAATATAGGAATTGTAGCTATTTTGATTTCATCTACTTGGCCAAACTGTTTTGTGAAAACATACATACATACATACATATCTATTTATCTATCTATCTCTATCTATTTTGCATATTGTTTCTCATTTTCATAGAAAATTTTGTTCCTGGGTCTTATGTAACTTCTAAACTCCGGTGTTCCTGGTGTCAAGAAAATTGGTGTGTCTTTGCATGCAAGGTCTCATCATAGTTGAGCTACAGGATGTGTGTATGACATGCCCATTTCCTATTTCACTTGTGCTACTGCTTTTCTTCTACTTATGGTCACTTAAGAATGTTTGCTTGATTTAATAAGTCTGTTTTCCCTTTCCTAATTTTACATGTTGTGCTGCTGCTTTTCCAGGTTTGTTGCATCAGCCCGTCAGTTGGCAAAGGCCTTAGAAGTTCCATTGGTCAATGATTTAGGATATACAAAGAGATATGTACGGTGCCTCCAGGTAATGCTCTACTTGTCAAGGCACATCCTTTAGAATAGTTGAATGTCATTATGATTTACTATTGTATCTGAACAGACTAATAAATGTTGATTAGGTGTGTGTCCATTTAGTGGTCAGCTAATGTTTTGCTTGAACTACTTCCTAATTTGGAGGGAGTGTATTAGAGTGTTTTATACTGGTTTGATGCTTGACTTTTAAGATGTTTTTGTATTATAATAGTTGAGGAACATATCATGTAGAGCATTTTTTATATGATTATTATAATTAATCTTCCTGCTATTGACATTTAATGTTTCAAATAAGATTACAATGCCTTTATTGTAAGAATTAGTGACATCAGTTAAGCCTTAGATCTTGTGCTTTTCCTCATTCATTGAGTTTAATTGTTGCCTTGTCTGTTGAAATACTATTTTGGAAATAAAAAAATTGTAATCTGAACGCCTATTCTCTCCTCTGGTTGTTTTTTTAGATAATTATTGGTTCAATGCTTTGGTTTGTGCCAATTAGATGCAAAATGTGGCATTTATTCTAGTTTACTGATAAATTCTACATTGATTTCTGAATCACTGTTGACCCAATAATGATTGGCTGATATTTTCATGGTGCTTTTCTTTTTAAATATTTTTTGTAATTTTTGGGAGTGACTTTCACGGCTTTTTCTTTATTTAACTTCTTGTCCTGCTACCTAAGAGAAAGTGAAAAATCCTTTCTTTTAAATTCCCATGGATGCTGTATTGATAAAAAAAAAAAACATAAAGTTATATAAATTACTTGTTATGATTTAAGGGTTATTTTTTGCTGAGTTAGCTTGACAAAACAAATATTTTTTTGTCATTTATATATGTTGCAGATATCAGAAGTAGTAAATAGCATGAAAGATTTGATAGATTATAGCAGAGAAACAGAGACTGGACCTATGGGTAAGTTAATGATCTGTTTACTGGTTGATAACATATTTGTGAATGTGATATGAATATGATTATGAAGTAGTGTCTTGCTTCATTGAAAGGAACCAATTATCTCATCCCCATTGTTGCAATGTTGATTTACTATTTTTAATTTAGCAATTAGCATTTTGGAAAGCTTACTGCATTTTCATTGTCAGTTTATATTATAATTTAAATTATTTATTTAGTCCCAATAATTTCATAATAAATAAACTCACTTTAGTCCTAACCATGGTAGTCTAAATCAAGATTCTACATAGGATCAGAGAGAGGATAAAAGATCATAACTCGTAGGATCGTAAGATCCTACAAAATTGTATAAATGCATGTAAAATAGTATAAATATAAAGATGGGGAAGTTAAACAAAGACAAATGAGGGAAAGGAGCCACCCTCAATTCAAACCAGAGACAGGGACATACTCACTAGAAACAGAGACAGAGAAGAGAAGGAAAAGATGGATCAGGTAAGGTATTCTGATGGAAAGACTATTTTACCCTTAAAGAAGACTTAAACAAAGTCATTTTAAGGGCAAAAAAGGAAAGTCAGATTATTTTTAAAAGATAAGAAGTCTTTTTTACCCTTAAAAAACCTTAAAATTTGCTTCATTCTGGGGATAGAAGGGGAAAGTTGACAACTTATACTCCAGTGGCACTTGCACTGAATGAGGCTATGATGGCTGCAAATACAGCTGGGATGGCCACCACATCAAAATGCTCTGCTTTGACAAGGTTGCCAACGCAAAGGAGAGTCACCAGAGCAGACACAGTCATTGGAGCGAAAGCCATAGGGATCGTAGAACAGAGGAACAAAGTCGCAAATCAGAGGAAAGGTTTAGGGATCACAAAATGAAATCAATTTTAGGGTTTCAAGCAAACTAGGTGACAAAGTGGGTCATTAGGTTAAAAATTGGGTTTCAAAACACGGGGGGTCATCCGAGCTACCAGTTTTACATTCTAGCACGGCAATCCCACTCAATCTTGCTAAATCACGATTCTGGCACCGAGCTAGCATGGAGAGGGGGTTGGAGATCGTAAAATCGTGCAATTTTACGATCTGGCACGCAATTTTGACTACCATGGTCCTAACCATTGTAACTGAATAGACATGTCTATATTCTTTCCAAACTTTGCAAAATGGTCCTCGCCGTCTGATGTCATCATGTCCCTATGATAACTATGTTGATTGTTGACATATAAACAAAAAATACTAGCAAATGGTAATACAACTTGGCAACACTTTTAAATTAATGACATGGCAAACGTGTCACATGTCAGAACATGTGAATCACTAGTGATCATTAGTTTTATTTATTTATTTACATCAATATGAATTGGCACATTGCATGTGCTGAAATTATTGGGGTTTAGACAGAGTGAGGAAAAGGAAATAAAAGAGACTAAATACCAAGGTAGTTAAAATCCCAATTTGAATCATAAAATCCTACGATTTTATGATTTTGGATGCCTTACTGATTTAAATTGTGGGTAAAATCGTGGCTGAGTAAAATTGTTGTAAAATTCCGACTTAAATCGTAAAATCCTCAAACCATGGGATTTTATGATTTCACCTTGACTCTGAAAATTTCTCGAAAAGTCTCATTTGTTGAATCCTAATGTAGTTGACGCCTCTTTCATATATTTCTTTTATTGAACCCAATTTGCCTCTAGCAGCTTTGAACCCTAACGTTGTCGGCAATTCAACAGTCCTCCCAGTGTGTGCAAGCCTGGTCTGCAGCTAAACCCATCAGTGTGCAACTGCTCTGAGTTTGAGTCTAGTGCTGCTATTCTTGCATCTTTTCTGTTCTGGTCTAATTTTTACTCATGCACATTGTTGTGGAATATGGATTATGATTTGAGTGCTACTTTATTTATGTGCTTTCACTAATTTAAAGGTTTTTTTTCCTGTAATTTATGCTATTTTATATGCATAATATGAATTTATAAGCATATATATGAATTTTGTAAAATGTTACAATTTGATTTACAATTTACGATTTTCTCTCCCCTTTATGATTTAAAGTAAAATCCTGATTTTAAGTACCTTGCTAAATACACTAAGATTATTGATATTGACTCGATTAGATATGATGTGTTATGGTATGATGAAAAACATAAAGGAATAACCCTTGTTTATTCTAAGAGTCTAATACTAGATCACGACCTAGCTAAACAGGGAAACAAATCATTAAATATTGAGGAATATAAAAACTATTCATAAGAGATACTCAGATACCCTACATTATTCTTAGACATAGTCAAGATATTATTAGATATTTTTCATTTATTCTAATGCTCTCCCTCTAGTTAAAGCTTATTAAGCTTTAAGCTTCTTACTTATGAACCTTTTAAATATAATATGGACTGTACCAAATGTGACTAAATATAGAAACTAATCCTAAGAGATAATCTAAGACACTAAATTATTCTTGAGTATAATCAAGATATTATTGGATACTTTTCATAAATTCTAATGCTTCCCCTGAAGCTAAAACTTACTATTTACTAAGCTTTAAGCTAAGATATGAACTTTTTACATATAATATGGACTAGTCCAAACATGGCTAAAATAATCATATAATCATGGTGAGCTGATTGGAATTTTGCATTGCAAAGGAAAGAATTCATCACCTCATGACTTATCAATAAGATAGGAGAAATCATGAAAGATCGTACCTTGTAGGATCGTAACACAGATCGCAAGATCCTACAAAATTGTATGAATGCATGTAAAATAGTATAATTATAAAAATGAAGGAAGCTAAACAAAGACAAATGAGGGAAGGAAACCACTCTTAACTCAAAACAGAGACAGGGACATGCCCATTAAAAACAGAGACAGAGAAGAGAATGAAAAGAGGGATTAGGTAATGTATTCTGATAGAAAGACTATTTTACCCTTAAAAAAACTTAAAAGCAGTATCATTTTAAAAAAGGGCAAAAAGGGAAAGTCAGATTATTTCTAAAAGATAATAAGTCTTTTTTACCCTTAAAAAGCCCTAAAATATGCTTCATTTTAGGGATAGAAAGGGAAAATCAACAACTTTTACTCCAGCGGCACTGTTGCATTGCGAATTAGGCTACCATGGCTGCAAATACAGCTGAGATGATCACCGCAGCAAAACGCTTCGCTATGACAAGGTTGTCGGCATAGACAAGGTAACCAAAGCAAACACAGTCACAGTCACTGGAGCGAAAGCTATAGGGATCGCAGATTAGATGAAAGGTTTATGGATGACATAACGAAATCAACTTTAGGGTTCAAGCAAACTGGGTCGCCGGTCATTGGGTTAAAAATTGGGTTTGAAAACATGGGGGATCATGTGAGCTTACCTGTTTTATGTTCTAGCATGGCAATCCCATTGATCTTGCTAAATCACGATCCTGGCCCCGAGCTAGCATGGAGAGTGGGTTGGTGATCATAAAATAGTGTGATTTTACGCAATTTTGACTACCATGGGAGAAATAACCATATAGGTATGTCTAACAGTATTATGTATGGTAGTTAGCTGCACAATATAATTAGCTGAAGTTAGTGCACTCAACAGCTGCCTGTTGCGGTTGGTAAAGCTTGCAGACCAAACTAGCTTGTGTATAACTATAAACTCATACGTTCTGTCAGAATGTAATAAGAAGATTCATTATCAATAACAGAAAATAGATTCAAATTCAAACACTGTAAACTTTAAATCCCTCTCTCTCTTTAGAATTCTATCAAGCTGTAAGAATCACCCTGAGAACATTTAGGGCCTTACTGCCATAGTGCATGGAGATAAACTGGCAGCGTCCTGACTGCATCTAGGACTGAGATTGGGATGGGGCTAGATCACATCTGCAAACAAAGAGCAGTGGGCCAACCATGTCTAGGACTGGGATTGTGGTCGAACCTATCCAGATTTTTCTCTTAAAAAAGTTGTGCTCTAGATTTTACGGAACTCAGGACTGGAGTATTGATAGGACAGCCTGGACAGGTCTCAAAGGATGGTAGATAGTTAAAATTAATTTTTAGGCTTAGAGGGAGGAAAAGGAGATAATGGAGACTGAATACATTGAGATTCATGTTGACATGATTTGGTTTGATATGTTTCAGTATGATGAACATAAAGCGATAACCTATGTTTCTACTAAATACTAGATCATAATTTATAATAAATAAGGGAAAAAATCATAAAATATTAGGAAATATGGAAAATAATCTTGAGACAATCTAATATACACTAAAATATTTTGAAGAAATAATCTAGATACACTTAGTCTCTTACATATTTTTCATATATTATAACAGCATGTATCTCGTTTTGCTTCCATATATTAAAATATGCATGTATTAACTAATCCTTTTCCTTTCTGTGCACTGTTAATTAGGATTATTTTGCTCACTCTGGAAATTATAAGTACTTATGCAATTGGTTTCGAATGGTTGGAACCAAGTTAATTTAGCTTAAAAAAACATAGGGTCTGAATGAATAGATTAGACTATTTTAAAGTTGTTTTGGACATTCATACTTGTTAAGATGTCCCACATTGGCTATGAATAGAGCCAAAATACTCCTTATAAGGGATAGGGTATTCCTCTTCTTATAAGCTAGTTTTTAGGAGTGAGTGAGGCCCAAATTTCTTAACAATAATGATTCCTACTAGAACTCCATTGTTCAACCTTTCAAAGCAACGCTAAGAAAATTAATTCCCGAGAAGAAAAATGTCTATGTTAGTCAACAATAATTTGTTGTAATTGAGTACATTCCAAGGCTATGAAGATATATTCATTCAGCACTGTGAGGCTTCTTACTGCAATAATTTCTTTTTCTTATTCTAGGAAAGTATGTTTGTTTTACTGAGATAAACAGTATGGTTCCAATGACAAGTGGGAAGGGGGATTTTTTTTTTTTTTTGGTTGTTGGGGGGGGGGGGGTGTTGGGTAACGGGTGGGGAATAAACTAAACTCTAAAGATAATTTCGTCAGCTCTTCCATAAACGTAAAGCATTTCCCATCCCCTCAATTGTCCCCAAATATAGGAGGGGAGACAAAAATGTGAGGAAAGGGATTTTAGACCCCTTATTTCCCCTTCCCTCTCTGTTTTCCTTCAACTAAATACATGAAAAGCTGGAAGGTATAACTATGCATCTCTTTTGTCACTTTGCACTTAGTTGGAGAAATGAGTACAAATTCTACAGTGTCATGTCCCTGAAACAGGAAATTTTGGTCAAGATAATTGGAGTTGGAAACTGTTGCAATTTTTTTTAATTAATAATTATTACCAGCTGTTGATTTTTATGATACACTGATAGTAGAATGTTTATTCTTCTTGCTTTCCTTCAGAAAGCTTAGCCAAATTCCCTCGGAGAACAAGTGGTTCATCTGGGCTTCATAGTCAGGCACAGTCTGAAGATCAATTACAGCAGCAGTCACAGCCACAGCAGCATATGGTGGCCCGCACTTCAAATGGTGATCAAAACTCTCTGCAAATTGCTTCAAGCAATGGTGTGGCTAGTGTAAATAACCCTGTCAATTCAGCATCTGCATCAACCACCACAAGTACCATTGTTGGACTTCTTCACCAGAATTCAATGAATTCTAGACAAAGTTCAATGAACAATGCAAGCAGTCCTTATGGAGGTAGTTCTGTTCAGATTCCATCCCCAGGTTCCTCCAGTAATGTGCCACCAGCTCAACCAAATGCATCTCCTTTTCAATCACCAACACTATCGTCATCTAACAACCCACAAACATCTCACCCTGCCTTAATTTCTGCAAATCACATGGGTAGAGCAAACTCACCAGCTAATATTTCCTTGCAACAACAGCAGACATCTCTTTCTGGTGAAGCTGACCCTAGCGATACTCATAGCTCAGTCCAGAAAATCATTCATGAGATGATGTCCTCACAGATGAATGGCACAGGTGGAATGGCAGGTGCTGGTTCTCTTGGAAATGAGATGAAAAATGTAAATGGGATTCTACCAGTGAGTACCAATACAGGGCTCAACAGTGGCAATGGCCTGGTGGGTAATGGGGCAGTGAACAGTAATTCGGGTGTTGGGGTTGGTGGTTATGGCACAATGGGTCTTGGTCCATCTGGTATGACCAATGGAATGAGACCTGTAATAGGACATAGTTCAATCATGCATGGAAGGGGAGGAGGAATGGCATCTATTGCTCGGGATCAAGTTATGAATCATCAACAGGATTTGTCAAGCCAAATACTTAGTGGGCTAGGAGCAGGAAATGGTTTTAATAATCTTCAATTTGATTGGAAACCATCTCCATGAGAGCCTTTGTAATCTTATGGATGTTGTGGTTCTTGGATAGCTGCTTGTGCAGCATGAGAAATGCTTTAATTGCCTTTGGCCCCCTTACGATGGCAGAATGCAGTCGGGTAGTGATAGGTCTTTTGTACTAATCTGTTATTTTATATATATATATATGGAAAATGAAAATTTGTTGGCTGGTTGTTTTGCCGTTGGGGCTGAATTTTCTTTTGAATTCAAAATGTAACTTCTAATTTTTGTACTATTTTAAATATCTTTATTGCGTTCACAAACTTATCCTACAACATGCAAGAAAGCTTTGGGCTGCCAACTGCAACTAAGTAGGAGCAATAGCCGTGTGCGTCAACGGTGGACAAGTCTGGCACCATGTTTGGTTTCAGTCCCAAGTAAAGTTTACATTTCAATTTGAGACCTCACTTGAGTGGCCATGAAGACATTGGAAACTGGGTTTTCTCTCCCGAATGTGTAGCCAAATTAACATGGCGGGACAAATTTTTTGATCAGTAATCTAAATTGGAAAGTAAATTGTAATGGAACATCGGTGAAAAGAAGGGACTGAAGATTTTCCTCCGTGGGGAATTTATACATTGTAATCTTTACAAAATGAAGAAAAAAGATATGGATACAAATACTATTGTTGAAACCGTAAAATGAATGGTCCATAATTTATGATCAAGCTTTCCTTCCTTATAACATTTCGTTTTCCAGCTTATATATCGACATATTTTTCCACTGTTGCGGACAAAGTTGACTTGGGAACTGCACCAATTACGCTTTCTTTCTTTTCTCCATTTTTGAAGAAAAGAACAGTTGGTATGCTTCTGATCCCGTACTGTGTAGCTATGTTGGGACAGTCATCGGTGTTTAGCTTGAAACATACAATCTTTCCAGCATACTCTTTCGCTAACTCATCAATCACGGGGGCTATCATCCTGCATGGACCACACCATGGTGCCCAAAACTCTACCAACACTGGGGTCTCACTAGCAATGACAAGGTTATTCCAGCTTGAATCTGTCACTACTCGCACTGTAAAATTTGTGCATACACATACCATTATAAATGTTTCTTATGGAAAAATAAAATTATAAATTCAATTCAAGGAAGGCAGATTAAGGATACTCATTCAATTAACTAAACACATCCCTCAAGCATGTATTTGGCTGCAAAATACTGATGTTTTCATGCAATGATATTTTTTAATGCTATACTCTTTAATTTTAGGGTTTTGTTAACCAATGTTCTTTATGGTGGTTGATGCAGATGCTGAATTGGCAGGGTTCTTAAAAATATTGGTTAAGAAGTTAATAAATAAATTTATTTTATTTAAATTATGTTAGGATACATTAAAAGATATAACAAGTGTGTTATTAATATGTTTAAATAAAAAACTTTATTTTCCTTAACTATTGCTCGTTAGAATTGCCCATACTTTTGATGCCGTTTTAGAAGAGATGGAAATGTGTAATGGAGATAAACACGAAAACCATGTGATAGAAAGAAGATTGTTCGAGTAAAATATAATGAATTAAAAGGCAACAATCAGCAGAGTGATGTGATGTGTTACCTTCATTTACTGCTTCACGAGCATTGCAGATAAAACGAGATTTTCTGTAGCTAATACCAGGAAGAGAAGAGTAAAGAGGAGATGGGTTTGATAAAGCTGATTTTGACAAGGATTTCTTGAACCCTCTGAAAGTAGGGCAGACAAGTTTTTGTCTAGAACTGAATGGATGAAGACATTGGGGTGTGGTGGCTGTGCCTACTGTGGTTACTCTTAAACAGGTCTCCAAGGCCATTCTGCTTCACACGTAATCAACTTAACTGAGAGAGAGTGGAGAAGGCAATGCAGGTTTCCTTGAGTTATGGATAAGACACTCTCCTTGTTTTCTGCTCGATTTTGATCAAGTGGATATTATTGTTTCAGGATTGTAAGGTTCAGATAGGCTCAAATTCATGTGGATGTCATTCATGTTTTGATACCTTAAATTTTGTCCTCACTAAATATAATCCAATCTGTAGGAACCAGAAAGCAGAGGCGTATATAACTGCACAGAAAGAGTAGGGAGGGGAAAGTCTCCACGTATTTTTGACTCAGAAAGTTTAGCGAAAAATGGAAATATTTTGAAGAGAAGTGTTTTTTTGTACTCCTACCCAGGAATACCTGCAAATGTGTCTTCTTATGTTTTCACGTGTATTTTTAAAATGATTGTACATAAAAATAATAAAAAAAATAAGAGAGAAATAAAATAATTATATAAAATTCACATGTAATATTATTTTTCGGGGATTTAAATAGAAAAATTAATTTTTAAATGTTCCGTTAATTTGAGTAAATTTTTTATACATGTAATATTTTTTTTAACAGTTGATTTACTATTTGTTATATATTAGGGCAAATTACATTCATGCCTTTTGAGATTTGAAAATATTTTGCTTGATACCTGTTCCTTTTTATATATTACTTTAATCTTTCTTCATTCATTTAACTTAGGAGTAATTTTTGTAATAAAAAAGAGTACGTAGTATTATATAATTATATAAGTTAAAGAGATAATTTTGCCTTATAGTTTAAGTAATAGTTGTTGGATTGATTAAACTCTCTTGCATTAGTTATTTACATAATTGTTAAAAATTAACCTATAGAAAATTGAATAAAAGCTTGTTTGATACTAACATTTGAATTTGAATTTCTTTAATTTAAATCAGTGTAGGGAGCTTTAAAAGATGAAAATTAGAATCAAGCGATAAATAAAAAAAATAACACTATTGAAAAAGAATGTGACTTAGGAGATTGTAAAAAGACTAAGAACAAGAAGACACTGAGTGGACTGCAAATAAATCTATACTGTTAAATATTGATAATACTCTTGATCAACAGAAGGTCAAACTAACAATAAAATATATATATATAATAAAATAATAGAACTTACAATATTATTTTTTTTCTGGTGCTATTTTCTTCTCAGATAATTTCATGAGTTTGCTTGAAAATCTCATCAAGCTATGACATTATTGATGGTGAAAACAAAGTGTGAAAAATGAAGAAAGTTTTATATGGCTTAAACAATCTCTTTCATTATTTTTTTTTTGTTTTCTTATGATTTACCCCATAAATTCTTAACCCTTCTAATATTTCATCTACTTAATAAATACAAATCTTCATATACCTATAGTAAACAACAATGTTTTAAAATCAATATCAAGAATTTCAAAACCAATAATTTGTGTAAGGTTTTTTTAAATAATTTTGAAAATGTATAAATAAACTAAAAAAAGTAATTACTTTAAAAATTTTAAATATAATCTATTTTTGTTTGGTTATATTGAAAATGCATACAATTTTTTTAATTCTAAAACTACTGAAAGTAATTTTTAAAATAATCATAAATTTGATTTTTTTTCATGTTCTATTTTTTATTTTTAAACAAACAGATTATCTTTTTCAAAGTTTATAGTAACAAAGGCTTAAGCAAATAGAAAGTTTTGCAAATAATTATTTTAAAATTTTCTCTTAAAAGGGGGACAATTGATTATTTTATTAAATATGTAAATTTTTATTTAAGCATTTATTGAAGTGTATCCAATATTATTTGAGTCATCCTATGACCTAACAAGTGTAGTTAGTGTAGTTAGAGTTAATGGTATCTCATGTAACATCCTCATTTTCTTATCTAAATTTAAATAAATTTTTATAAGCAAAAGAGGAATAGAATAATTTTTGTTCTATTTGATAGATTTATAATTGAATAAAAACAAAACTTATATTTCTTCAATGAAAATTTTATCAAATTTCACAGTATTTAAAATTTTTAAAGGAATAATTTCAAGACTTTAAAGTAATAAATAAACTTAAATTTACACCTCCAAATTACTTATTATAACAAAATTCACCAAAGCATTATAATTTATAAAATTTGACATTAAAGAAATATTTATATGACTTGGTTAACATGAAATGTAATTAGGATAAAATATTATAATTTCTCAAATGGTTCTAATTCCTATAGAGCAGTCTTTCTCCCAATATCACTGGATTATGATCTTAGAACGAACTAGCCCTCTTTATCTCTTTCCTGTCATTACCTGAAAATATTAGTAAGGGTGAGTATCTCCCGCTCTACTAATATTGAAAATGTTATCTAATGTAGATGTGCTAGATTAACAATAACACTCAAAGCATACAAATCATTATTACAGTAGAGCCCATACATGCAATCAATCAATCATCTTTGTAAATATTTAAGGCATGCATTTTCATACTAATTTGTATGTCCTGATACATGTATTATACCACATCAATCAATATGTCATAATACATGTGTCATAATCGCACCGTTCAATATGTTACAACACATATATTATAACAACATCAATCGATATGTTACAATGCATATATTATAATCATATAATTTTCATACTACTTTATATTCATCACACTTTCACATTCATTATACTTTCATATTCATGGCCCCTGATATCCCTTGAGGACTTCATAGCATAGATAGCTACTAGTTAGTCACAGCAACACGGATACACGTTTGCCAACCTGGCCCCTTTTTAGCAAAGATATAGTCAGGAGTCTCGTCAGGATATGAGTGTGTGGCCTGTGAATGCTTTCACTTTAAGCAAATCATTATGTACTCGTTTATACTTAGCATTCACCACCTTCATTTCCCCAATATTTCTCAAATCTTCTCCGGACTCTATACTTTTAGTGTATCTCTGTAGCTATTTATACTTACAACAAACATTTCTCATTCTTTTTCATATTCTTCTCACAGGTCAACGTGTCATAATACGTGAGTCTTGACCACATAACTTGGTATATATTACAATACATGTACTATGAATACACCCTTTGAATGTACCACAATACCTATATTATAATCACATCCATCAATCATTCTGACTCCCTATTATAATCACTTTTCTCACAATTCCACCATCATGTCATATCATTTCATTTCATACATCAAACTATATATTCATTTAAGAATAATATAACACTTTTAATTAACAACCTAATTTAACCAGTTTCTACATACCTCAATCATAAAAAAAACCATTCATTCAACACAAAAAATCCTCAAACAAGTCCATACATCACATAGATCAATACAATGTGCTGGAGGTCGGATACCTCTTGACTCAGTCCAATCGTACGATCTAACATATACATTTTCTCAGTAATAATAAGGTCGTCTATCCTAAAGTTTGACATAATCCATTATTAATAATATGTCCATTATTCCAAAAACATCAAATAACAAATCTTAACTACTCCTAAACAAAATTTGCTTAGTAAAATTGTAATATTCCTTAAAGATAGTTTTATTTAGAGTGAAACGATCCAATTTTTGTTAGTTGGCTATTAGCTCTTGATCTTTAATTATTTGCTGATGCCGAGTTGCTAGTATCAGAATAATTGGATAGATGTTGATTTTTATTTTAGAATATTGATTTATTTCTGAATTTGGCATTTTAGGGTAACGACATGCAATATTGATTTTATTATCGCCCAAAAATTTCTCTGATTACGTCCAGTTGTACTGTCTAAAATACCCCTGAGAATTTTATCTGAAAAGTCAATTTTTGTCTTATTTAAATAATTGTCAAATCATAATTATCCGCCTCGAAAAACATAAGATTTAGTAATCATTTTATTAGATTTTCAATCATTTCTTAGCTGTCAAAATTCTTGCACGGAATCTCACGAAATCTAGTAATCATTACTTCTAAGATTTCCAAATCTAGCATCGGCCACTAGATTTTCATGCAACTAAACCTTGTCTCCCAATTTACAAACATCGTGATTATCCAAATCTTCTGAAATCTAGTATCGGCCACTAGAAATACATGCAACATATTTTGTCTCCCGATTTATGGACATAATCATTTTGGAACTTTCTTTTCATGTCTTCCGATATGCCGACACCATGATTACTTTAATCAATTACTTTTCTTAAATTTAGCACCACATCAAACGTCTCGTCCACATGTCAACCTAGTCATGTCGCATTCTTTTCTGGCCAATCAAATTACATGCAATTGATGCCCAAAATCTCGTCTTTGAAATTTTGTGTCAACTGTTGGGAAATTGGGATATCCATAACCATTTGCATGCAGCCCAAAATTATTCCATGCAATTGCTTGCTGAAATTGTACTAACTTTGCTTGCAAGTTTCCCTAAAATTCACTATTCCTACACAAAAAATCGTGGCACCCTTTCTTATCTCATTTTTCACCAATTTCACCCAAATGAAACCATGTGCAGTTCTTAAACTTGGAAGCCTTGCCAACTAAGCCAAGCCATAAGTGTTTAGTGGCAATTGGCCAATCTAAACTTAACCCTCCATATAAATAAGCTTGTCAAACTAAAATTGCACCCTTTGGAAGCCAAAAATCGTGACCTCACTTCTCTTTTTCTCTCACTTGTTCTTCATCATTCTTCATCCTCTCAAAATCTCAAACTCTCTCAAAACTCTCTCAAGAAACCAAGAGGTTCCAGCCCACAAATCTCACCAAATCTTCATCCAAATCACCCAAATACTTCACCTTTCCATCACCAACTTCTTCCTCCATCATCCCTCCAATTTTCGTGTTGAAAGAACTCACCTAGGAGGAAGAACTTGAAGGTCTTGGTTGCTGTTTTCTCGGTTCAGCAAGCACTCCTTGGAGATCCACCATTTTCAGCCCTTCCTTCTTCAATTTCACGCCCAAAAAACTCAAAGGCAAAGGGGAGTTCTCATCCTTCTATCTTTTACTTGCTTTCCTTGGTTGAAATTGTGTAAAATCTTGGAAAGGTTTCATTTTTATCTTCAATAATTTTGAATAAGCTCATTGTACCTTTTGCATGTTGAGTTTCACT